AAGGCCAGCTGTAGACTCTATCTACAAGAGGGTAGTCCTTTGGAAGAAGAACATGTTTAAGGTACCGAAAGGCAAGATAGGAGAGAGTTTTATTGAGGAAGTTGCCAATACCATCAATCTCTTTAACAGTGGCTCTAACCTTGAGAGTGTTGCAATTACTATGACGCTTATAATTTTTCCCCTCCTGCTCCAGAAACCCTCCAAATCCTCTAAAGCCAAAGACCATGTAGCACACCTGGAAAGAAGACTCCAACTATGGAAAGATGGCGAAATAGAGAAGCTCGCTAGGGAATGTAAATCAATACAAGATCGCCTACTCAAATCTAAGTACAGCCCAGGACATCACAACAAAGTCTTTACACGACTCATGTTACTAGGAAAAGTCTCCGCAGCCTTAAGATGGAATGGGAGCCAGAGAAGTAAACTCCTGGACACAAGCCCTACTGTCATACAGGAACTCATAAAGAAACACCCCGAAAGCAGCCCATCACTCGAATCTAGTCTGATGAAGGGACCCATTGAAGAAGTAGACAACGTCATATTTGATTCCATTGATTCCAGCAGAATTGAAAAGGTTGCAAGAGACCTCAGCGGATCTGGTGGGCCCTCAGGAACTGATGCAGAGACATGGCAGCATATTCTCTGCTCTAAGCAGTTTAAGAAAAAGCCTGAACTTCTAAAAGAAGCAGTCGCAGTTTTGGCCAGAAAGCTGTGTTGCCAAAAGATACAGCCCGACCACCTGAAAACATACATAGCAGGTCGCCTCATCCCCCTTGATAAAGACCCAGGGGTTAGACCCATTGGGATTGGTGAAGTCCTTAGAAGAATAGTCGGAAAAGCAGTGATGACCACATTGAAACAGGACATTATCATGAACACAGCACCCATGCAACTGTGTGGTGGCTTACAAGGAGGAGTGGAAGCGGCCATTCATGCAGTCAGAAAGATCTTTGAAGAGGAATCCACAGAAGCGATCCTGCTTGTTGATGCTGAAAACGCCTTCAATGCATTAAATCGCAACACAGCCCTTAGGAATCTTCGATACACCTGTCCAGAGCTATTCACTTACATCCTAAATACATACAGACAAGAAGCTAACCTATTCATTGCCAACAGTGATGACCACTTACAATCTCAGGAAGGAACTACACAGGGAGATACCTGTGCACTCGGATGGTATGCACTGAGCCTAATGCCTCTGCTCAGAGAAGTCCAGGTTAAACAGACAGAACCTGAAACAGAACTAGAATCAGACAGGGAACCCAACACTTATCCCAAACAAGTTTGGTATGCTGACGACTCTGCAGCAGGGGGTAAACTTGATCAACTCACGAAATGGTGGGAGGACCTTAAAGATCATGGTCCCATGTATGGGTATTACCCAAAACCCAGCAAGACATGGTTGATAGTGAAACCAGAGCATGCAACCAAAGCTAAGGAACTCTTTCCAGATGTTCAGATCACTACCAAAGGCCACCGTTATCTTGGGTCATATATTGGATCAGAAGAAGGGGTAAAAGAGTTCATACTAAAGGAGACCGAAAGTTGGAAAGCAGACATTCTCGGACTCGTCGAAATAGCTGCAAACGAACCCCAGCTAGCCTACTCCGCTTTCATCTACGGAACCTCCAAAAGATGGAATTTTGTTTGCCGTACAACCCCAGGGATTTCCGACCATCTGAAACTCTTGGAATATTGTGTCAAGGAAGACTTTATACCAGCCATTATGGGCAAAAGTTTTGTGCCTGATCAAATCAGAAAAATAGCTTCACTTCCTGCAAGAATGGGCGGGCTGAGCATTCCAGACTGCACATCAACAGCAGAGATGGAGTACACTAACTCAGTAAATGCTACAAAACAGCTCACAGAAGCAGTTTTTCAACAGCTTACTACTTTCCAACTAAACGGAGAACTGCAGCATGACATCATAAGTGAAGTAAAGAAGCGTAAGGAAGAGCTTTACAAACACCAACGTGAAACTATTACGAATGAGGTATCCCCATCAACACAAAGGCAATTAGAACTCCTTAGTGAAAAAGGAGCATCCATTTGGTTATCCACACTCCCTCTAAAAGCATGTGGGTACGTCCTTAACAAACAAGAATTCTTTGATGCCCTCTCACTCAGATATAATCTTACACTGTCTACAGCTAACAGAAGTCCCCTATGTGTATGTGGAAATCAAAATCATATCAACCATACTCTAACCTGCAAAATCGGAGGCTACGTTTCACTTAGACACAATTCACTAAGAGATACAATAGCTGAACTCCTAACCACTGTTTGCAAAGACGTTGAAACAGAACCCCAGCTTCTCTCCGTTCCTCACACACTTGAACTATCTAATGGAACAAATAGACAGGATGGTGCAAGACTGGACATCAGTGCGAGATCGTTTTGGTCGCCGCTGGACAGGGCATTCACAGATGTAAGGGTACTTCACCCTCAAGCCCAGTCCAACAGTGACAAGAGCATCTCACAGATGTACCAATCTCACGAGAAAAGCAAAAAACGTGAGTACAATGACAGAGTCCTCAATGTTGAAAAGGCTACCTTCACGCCACTGGTGTTCAGTACTACAGGAGGAATGGCAACTGAGGCTTCACAGTTTCTAAAACATCTCGCTGAAAAGATCAGCCTAAAGAAAGGCCAACGGTATTGTGATGTGATGTCATTTGTCAGACGCAGACTGCGTTTTGATCTACTCAGAACCTGTATAATCTCTATCAGGGGGTACAGAGGTACCAGAACCCTTCCACCCACGGCAATAAGTGATTTGGACCTTAACCTGATCAACACTCTTAAACCCTAAAAGGTCATGCTCTAGTTGGATGGGGGTCTAAACTGCTTTTTGTTGTGATGTGATTTAGTGGATTTTATATATTATATTATTACAAAGGGTTTTATTTTTATTTCTACCTCAGTTTTTAAATTTGTACCATTTTTACAGAATTTTATATAGGGTCATTGCTATATTATGTGTATTATATTGTTTGAATATCTTTTTATATACACATCTACTCCATCATAGGGGCAGGGATGAGGTTATAAGAGACTTCTGATAGTGGTGTCTCATATTTGCTGTCCATTTTTTTCCCTCTGTACCCTCGTAGAGCTATGAGTGTGGTTCTTAACATAGCGAATCTTATTCTTGTCCTTACATGTCTTACCACATCGCAATACCTCTCTTTTCTTCCTCTGATTCCCCTCAGTGCAATGAGTGTACTTCTTAACAGATCGAATCTGAATCGTGTTCTGATGTGATTTTGGACTTGGCTCTTGGCTTCTTTTTTGTGGTCAGCTATCATCTCAGAGACACGATCTACAAACACTGTGCAGAGTGATCCCATACCTCCGGAGGTTGTGAAGACTAGAGGGATAAAGGATCCCTTCTCCGACTGAAGTACTCTCTCTTCATACAAATCTTTCTTTTCTTTCTCATGATCTCTATAGATCTTATCTAGTGGCTTAAATGTATTTGTGTCACAGTTAGGATGTGTGACCCTGATGTCATAGAATGTTCTTTCAAAAGGTGCATACAATCCGACAGCTGCTACATCAAGACGGGCTTCATCCTGGGTGTTGGTCTTCCTTGAGAATGAGCTTGGTTGGACTGGTATGAGTGCTGGTTCTATCCTTACGTCTTTACACTTTGCTTCTCGGAGGAAGAAAGCAGCAGTGTCTCTTATGGCATTGTGGCACATAGAAACGTATCCACCTAGTTTACAGTCAAGGGCGTTATAGATACATTTCCGCATGCATATTTAAGGAATACAAACTCCTGCCTGTTCAGAACATAGTTGAGGTCCTTCAGTGGTAGTGTTGAGAGCCATGTTGAGGCTCCCTTCTCTCTTGCTTGGTCTAGGTGGTTCTTAAGAGGATGATCTGACTCATTATAGAGCACCTTGAACCTTTGGGAGAGAACCTCCTCTTTCTGTTTCCTCAGTTCTTTTTTCTTTTCTTTTATCTTGCCCAGGTCCAGCTTGGTAATATCCTGGTCTTGTTGGTTTTCATTCATCCTCTACGATATAATAACACTGTTAGATATTTAAAATTTGACGGAATTAGGGGAACAGAACTATTGAAAGGGCCAGGGGATATAGTTATTTCGAAACATACAATCATGCTAGTTAATTCTTTAAATTTTTCGAATTATATGCTCATTGCTGAATGTGCCGCCATTTTGATGTATATAATCGGCTTTTCTTTAAATCCTGAAAGTTGATCAGTAACCCCAATATAACTCGTGGAGGCGCAGCCTTTTTTCTTACAAAAGCAGTCCAGGACAACAGTCACCTTCAACTGAAACAAGAACTGAATGGAGCTGACTCGTATTCTAATCTAGAAGAAATTCCGATTCCAACAAAAAGCAGCACGCGAAAAGTATTTATCAGAAGAGTTGAATTTCTTTGGAGACAAAATGAATCTCTCCATAATTTAGCCAACTAGTTAAACGGCCCCATATGATCTCATTTAAATCAAGAGGGAGGATCCTGGGCCCCGAAGTCCACCACCTTTCTGTACTTTTGGAGGTAACAATGTGGCAGGAGACCAGTGCTCGTGCTGCTACTGAGCTAAAGCAGTAGAGGGATGGCGGCTTGTCTGGGATCTAACCCATCCTGAAGCAGACCAACACTATGTCCCAACGCACTGGTGTTGGAATGTCTACCCCCAGTGCCTGCCCTGGTCAATAAGGCAATCAAGTGAAACCTTTAGCAGAAAAGATGCTATTTTCCCATAATAATTTCTGTGGGTATTATTAATAAGTTACTGCGCTAACAGCAGGAGTCAGTATTGAAACAACCTTGCTCATTTTCTGCTAGAAAATGTATAGCAGCTGGCAGCATTCATAGCCTTTAACCATTTACGTGATTAAACACATATATTTCGATTTAATAGAATGTTGAGTTGTTATAGCACATATGAAACATACAAGAGATTTTCATTATCATATTTGCCACCTACATAATATCATATTTCACAATAATTTATTCATAAGGATGCCAAAAAAGTCGGCGCTTCCTAATGCATCAGTTTTTGTCAAGAACTTACCCTATGATGCCAAAGAAGTTGATCTGAAAGACGTATTTGGAAAATTTGGCAGATTACGAGATGTTTATATCCCTCTCGACTTTCACACAAAGGTTGGCAGAAACTTGTTTTAACTTTTCTTCTCAAATTTGAATTCTTTAATGATATTTTCATCACGAGAGCCTTTAATGTTTGTTTTAAATGTAACGCATACTCCCTCCAACAATCAAGATTCATATATATCTTAAATTATATTGAATGCGATCAAGTACAATATTATATTTTCAGGAACCACGAGGTTTTGGATACATTCAATTTGAAAACGAGCAAGATGCTGAAGCAGCTGTTCAGGAACTACACGGTTTTAAAATGAAAGGTCGAGAACTTGATGTACGCTTTGCAGAAGGGGATCGCAAAAAACCAGGTAATTTTTCATGCAGTTATACTGATTTATCAGGCATGTGGCAACTCCACATCATTGCAGATCCAGTCTGTTTAAAGTTGCTTTAATAAAAGGTTGTTTTTATTTATTTCAGTGTCCAACAAGTAACAACCAACTTATATGATATTTTCACAATAAATACACAAACCCTTCAATTAATCAACAGAAATTAGTGATACAATTAAGATAATATCCTCCAAAATTATGATTTAATCTTAATATATGAACTTTTTATATTATATTATATATAATATGTACATTTTATTGGCCATTCCTCTAATCTGTACTGATTGGTAAAACGCTTTCCATGTCAAGAAATATGGTCCAACTCCCCAAAATTATCCATGTCTTTGTCCTGTGAATTTTGACAATTATTTCAGGTCAAATGGTTGGAGAAGGAGACCACCTCACGGAGAAACAGTTTCTTCTGATCGGAGAAGATCAAATCCCCACGACGGAGAAGGAGTTCCCCCTCAGCCTCATAGATCAATGAATAGGCGCAACTCCCCTCCTTCTATCGCAACTTCCCACCGGGATCATTCACCATGTTTACGGCAAGGAAATCGTTCACCATTAAGACAGAGATCCCCTATCATTCGTCAGCGATCACCTCCTCAGCAAAGATCCCCTACCAGAGGAGGATCTCCTGTAAGAAACAGATTGACAGTAGGACTTGACCCAGCTCGCTCTCCTCCTTCCAGGAGAAGAATACCTGTACGAAGGGAGCTCCCCAGGCCCAGTTAGAAACAGATCCCCACCGGGTAAAGAACACATTGTGAGGAGGCAGAGGTCGCCAGCTCCACACAATCGTCCACAGAGAAGGGTCAGGTCTCCTGCTCCTCTTATTGAATCTCCCCTCAACATTCTGAACCATGCTTTGAGGGGCGTTCCCCTGGAAACAGATCCCCTATTCATCGCACTTCCCGTAGATCACCCTCTCCTGGTCTGCAGACCCAACGTGAACAGAAGTAAACACAGCATAAGAGAAGATTGATCATATTATCTAGTAGGAGATCTACCAGCCCTCCCAGAGTCCGTCACCATACCAGCCCTTTAACAAACCACAGGATAACTGTTTCTAATGACAACAAGGATGATAGGACGATAGGGTCCTCACGACAGGGTGGGCAGAGTGCGGGCTAGAGATGATCGAATGAATGAAAGGCGAGATGAAAAAAATGTGAGATGATGGTCGACAGTCTAGATATGATGGACTCAGGCGAACACAAGGATCTTTTGATCAGAGTCCTCCAAGGAAAAGGCCAATCAGGCGGCAGCCCCATGCAAGCAAATCACAGTACTGCACCACCCAATAGATCACGTTTCTCTTCCAGATATCCCAAAAGGGAGAGTAAGTTTCTCGACCTAGAGGTAGGTCTCCGAAAGGAGGAAGGGATGTTATGCGTGGGAGGTCACCTCAAGCAAGAGTTTTGCTCGAAACTCCTGAAATACCAGTTCATCATGAGAGAACACATTCACCTCGATCACACAAAATGTCTGACCGGAGACGTGAGGACCACGCCAACCGCAGTCGTAGAAGGCAGAGTGATTCTAGACGAAACAATGAAGAGGATTTTGTAAGTAGTATTCGGATTCTCCGACTTGATACATAGTTAACAATTTGACAAACATAGCTATCAAATTTTTAATCAGAGATCGTTTGAGAACAGCCTGCACTATCATTTTTGTGGAGGGACTATACCTGCACCCAAAGATGGAAAGGGTTAAAGTGAAAGTGAAAGAGAAATATGCAACAGGTGAAAATGGAGCTAGACGACTCTGTATGAGTCAGTGCAGTTACTGCTTGTTAAATTCTGCTTTTTACCCAGGAGTTTGTTGATGAGGAAGAATATTACGAAGAGTTGGATGCAATGGATGATATGGACAATCTGGACATAGACTTCAACTAAAGCTAGAGGTATGTCAAATATGTATATAACCTCTGTAGATTCATCGTACTAATTGTAAACTTACACATGATTTTTTTCCAAATCTTCAAATTTACCTGATGTGTTGAATTTTTGTTACATAACGTGATGACTTATCAAAAGGGAATCTTTCATTTAATACAGTATGATGACTGGGAACTTTAATCTGTTTCATCTAGGAGATTATTTTAGGTAGTCTGAATATAATTTCTACGACATGGCGTTCAGAATTATTAAGTGTTTGCATTCGATTCATAATGAAACCTGATTCAACGTCAAATTTTTAACATATAATATAGTAAAATCGTTGAATCATTATTTTGTTACGATTTCGATTTGCTCATCAGTTCATCTGAAAAATTACTTAGACTTAAAGGATATGTAATTGTAAGCTTTGACGCAACTATTCTTCAGATTAAGTGCATCAGCTATTGGTAGATTTGCAGATTCTCCGGAATTCTTCAGTCAAAGGTCACTCTAAAAGAACTGCTCTTCGGTTAAAGCTCATGTACACAATATGTTGTTCCAAGCCTCAATCCCCCCTCAAGGTAGTGAAAGGCCCAAAGCAAAGCTTCAATTTGCTTCAAGTAGTTATGGGCGGACATGCCATGGTTTTCACTTGCTCCAATGATATGAGAGGCCGACATCAAAGTTTCTTCTGCTTCAAAGTCTTCAAACGTTTACAAAGGTTCAATTTATGCCAAAGTAGTCAAATACAATGCCAAAGGTCCATTTTTTCCCCAAAGTAGTCTAATTTAATGTCAAAGCTCTATTCTGCTCCAAAGTGTTCATATGAAACAGTCGAGGTTTCATTTTGCTCCAGCAACCTTAGATTATGAGCTAGAGAATTAAATGATATTTCCAACCTTTTGCGGCTTATCAATTTATTTTATGGAAAAGTGTTCCACTGTGATATTGCTGTTATTTGACACAGCCATGAAGACGTCAAAGTTTTGGAAGTGAATCAGCTGTCTCCACTTCCAAAAGGTTTCTTGTCCAATATCTGACCTCCCCCGATGATGACTAGAGTTGGTAAATTTATAGTTCCTAATATTATTCAGCACCTAGTCCTGTATAAAATTACTGGACGATGGAGAAATTATATACCAAGATTCATATCTTTAAAAGATGATGTCATATTGCCATACGATCAAAGAAATAAAGGTAACGTAAACCGACATGAACAAAGAAATAAGTTTAACTTAAGCCCGGTATGGAGTTTTTTAAACACCGCCATAACAACACTACAGTTACCATGGACAACACTACTGTTACCATGACAATGATAAAGAATTTAAGGACAAAACCGCTTACGCGCTACGTAAACCTTAAAGGATCTGTTGAGATCTATTCTCGATTTAAAGTAGTTAAGAGAAAGTTAAAAGGCTTATAAAAGGTTTCAAAGATCGATCTGTTATCATAACAGCCCTCTGCAATAGTCGAGTAAGTATTCTATTAGATTTATAACTTAAATTGTGAGTATTGTACTACATATATCATATCATTATGTCATAATATATTATCATTCTACATGTACACTACATAGCTCATCCTTATCAACACACTGTCAAGGGTATAACATTTGTGCATTTGCAGAATTGTACATCCACTGCAAATCCGGTGTTGGAAGTGCATGCTAATGTTCTCAAATAATGCGCCAGCCATTTTTTAAGAGTGTGTGTTCCTGGAGTCTTGTGATGACTGATTTGAAAGTCTACATGTTGGACTATCCGAGTATATTACTGATCATTGACACACTCACAGACTGTAACCATCCATTCAAATTGTGAGCCCACGCCGCACCGTTTACACCGCTGCTAATAATCCTATCGTAGTATCATCTCTCACTCATCCTGTCTTCTCTTTTATTCCCTTCTCTCTCATCCTGTCTTCTCTTTTATTCCCTTCTCACTCATCCTGTCTTCTCTTTTATTCCCTTCTCACTCATCCTGTCTTCTCTTTTATTCCCTTCTCACTCATCCTGTCTTCTCTTTTATTCCCTTCTCACTCATCCTGTCTTCTCTTTTTTGTCCCTTCTCACTCATCCTGTCTTCTCTTTTATTCCCTTCTCACTCATCCTGTCTTCTCTTTTATTCCCTTCTCTCTCATCCTGTCTTCTCTTTTATTCCCTTCTCACTCATCCTGTCTTCTCTTTTATTCCCTTCTCACTCATCCTGTCTTCTCTTTTATTCCCTTCTCACTCATCCTGTCTTGGGGGAGAGGCACACCGATTGTCGTCCTTTTTGCCCAAACGCGAACAGAGCCCTAGTAATTAGTATATTTTTAGGTTGGAACTAAAACTAGAGTTAAATGAAAATTTCAAAAAAAGAAATGGCCATTTTATCTAGAACCATTGAGTTTAAAGACCACCATGTACGACCACGTGCTCCAAATTTTCCGTAACACGGCCATTATGAACCCCCGCCCCCCCCCCCCCCCCACAACTTCAAATGACCCACCAAGTTTCTAGATTTGATGGCCCGACCACTCACAATTCACATGCTTACTAACATGATTACACATAAAACTAGTCATGTGTGGTGCTTATTTGCTTATATTATCATTAGTTTTATATTATTCTATTCAGGTAATAAGATTCACGACGCCCTGGACTGTCAAGAGAACGCCAAGTCAAATAGTTTTATTCACGAAACAGCAGTTATACAGGAGATTAATATTACTCTGAGAGGAAAATGTTTGTTGCCCATATAAGGGCATCATGAGATACTAAACTGCTATACTGAAACAATTCAGCCATGTATTCATTTTATCTTTAATGACACAAAGATGATGTGTCCTAATGGGATATTTTTGTATCGACAATATTTTAAATGTAATCTGTTATGATATGTTAGTATTACGAGGGAAGCATGCTAAAAGCCTTATTTGCATTGTAGGGTATTGTGTAGTATTAAAATGAAAATAGTTTCTAGAGTATGTTACTTAGTAAATAGTCTCCTAGCCTACTAGTCTACATAATTTAATAGGAATGATTTTTTAATTTTCTAGTTGGATTTTGTTACCCTAGCTCCGTAGTATGTCTCTGTGATAATGTTCTCTAACCTGCAATACTTTGTAAAACTCAAGTTATAATTTCTTTTTAAACTACTTTAATTAATGGGATAAATAACACTTAACAGGTTGAATGAATTGTGAATTGTCTCTTTTGCGTATCACTGCTTTTCAGAGTTGCACTCAAATTTTATGATGTTCAGAGCGAGCAATAAAATAGAAAGTAAAGATAAAGTGGCAGGAATAAAGAATCTGTAAAGATTATATTTGGTGAGTGAGTACATTACAAATTTCAAAGTTAAGAAGTTATCAAATGGCAAAGGAGTAAGGCTTTTCCCACAGTGGTATGACCCCTCTTACAGGGGCAGGACCTGGCGACCCCTCTTTCTGGAATATAACCCCTCTTACTGGGGTATGACACCTCTTACTGGGGTATGACCCCTCTTACTGGGGTATGACACCTCTTACTGGGGTATGACCCCTCTTACTGGGGTATGACCCCTCTTACTGGGGTATGGCCCCTCTTACTGGGGTATGACCCCTCTTACTGGGATATGACACCTCTTACAGGGGTATGACCCTTCTTACAGGGCCAGGGGTATGACACCTCTTACTGGGGTATGACCCCGCTTACTGGGGTATGGCCCCTCTTACTGGGGTATGACCCCTCTTACTGGGGTATGACCCCTCTTACTGGGGTATGACACCTCTTACTGGGGTATGACCCCTCTTACTGGGGTATGACACCTCTTACTGGGGTATGACCATTGACCCCTCTTACAGGGGTATGACACCTCTTACTGGGGTATGACCCCTCTTACTGGGGTATGACACCTCTTACTGGGGTATGACACCTCTTACTAGAGTATGACCCCTCTTACTGGGGCAGGACCCCTCCTCCAGACCCCTCTTTCACCAGAATTTGTCCCCTTTAACTAAATTAAACTTAGTATCTTTTTCCTGCCCCAGCTCACCCCTGTGACCGTATACTTTTTCGTGAACCAAAAAATTCAAGTGATCTGAAAAAAATTGAAATTGTGATGTTCAACATAATTGTAAACCATTAAGGAATACAGTGTAATAAACGCTTCTGAATTATCTCACATTCAATCAACCAGGGCAGAGATTCTAGAGTTCTAAAGGCTAAAGATTATATAAAGGCTAAAGCTAAAGATTTTATTAAAGTTCAAGATTCCCTAACGAATAACAAAGATTAAAGATCCATACAAGTGCAATTTGTAAGAAGTTATTTAACACACCCTTATCTTGGTATTACGGTGTCATTTTCATACACATCCATCTCAAATATTAGTAAGTGTAAACGAGATATCATCATGATGACATGACAGTTTATTTTACTCGTCATTACCATTGGGGAGTAATTTCAGCACTATCCAAGGAGCCCGACCAGTGAAGTGGAATAGGGATATTGTTGGAAATAGGTTTAACGTGGAATTCCGCTGGTCGGGCGTCTTGGATACTGCCGTAATTCCGACCTAGACCTCGGGGTTCACAGCTTATCCACGCTATGATATTAACCACTGTTGAGGCTATACTGTATGGCTTGCCACCCCAATTCAACTAGCATTAAGGGTAACATCATACTGGAGGTGTTCAGATTGTTGTAGTAACTAGATAAGTTTAGTTGCTAAGCTAATAAGTCACATGATCAGTGCAATGAAAGTGTATGACTGTGTTTGACAGTGGATTTTGACAGGCTATGTCACATGACATGTGTACACAACATTCACTCAACATTACTTCATTCTTACCTCTCTCTCTCTGCTTGATTCGTTACTTACTTCATTTCACTTAAGTGATACACGGGATTATTGTTTATTGTTTACGGTGTTTGTAAATATTTTTAACTTCTCTTTTGATCAGGTCATGTCACATCGCCGCAGTGGTAGAGGCAGAGGGACCACCTCTTTGTTTATACGTAATGTGTCATACGACACCAAGCCTGAGGATCTGCGCAAGTTGTTTACTCGGTATGGCTACGTGAGAGACGTGTACATCCCTCTTGACTACTACACGAGAGAGCCACGTGGTTTCGCGTATGTTGAGTTTGAGGACGCACGTGACGCATCAGATTCCATGGAGGAGCTGGACGGATACAGGTTCATGGACAGGGAGTTGGAGATTGTTTTTGCAGAGGGCGACAGAAAGAATCCTAACCTGATGAGACGCAAGGAGACCGCGGCTACACGTTACGGTTACGGGCCGGAGGGGCAGCCGCAGTCGCAGCAGGAGCCCCAGAAGGAGACGTCGCAGCAGATCCCCCCGCAGATCCCGTCAGTCCAGGTCCAGATCACACACACCTGGCTCTAAAACACCCTCTCGTCCAGATCCAGGTCCAGGAGTCAGCCCCGGCCGCTCCTCCAGACAGAAGGAAATCTCCCACTTCCCAAATCAGCTTCCCGCTCTCCTGTTTCCCGCTGGCCTCTGGAAGATCTAGGTCCAAATCACCATAATATCAAACCATGCAGACTGAAAACCGAGCAAGCCTTGTACCTTGTTACATTTTAAATCTCTGTGTAACATCTACACAATATCCACTGATGATAAACTCTCTTAAAATTAAGAGAGTGCTTAAGACTAAATTTTACTCAGGATATATTTAATAATCTTTTTTGGGGGCAGCAGTTATCAGGTATGATCTGGTATCATTTGGTATACACTGATTTGTTATTTTAGGGGTTTACTTCCAAACTTAAGTAATAAAATGGGGTATTGCAGCCAGGAGTAAACATTATAATTATGGAAATCTCCAGTATTTAAAGAGTAATTTAATTGTTCTTTCAGTTCGTAGTTTCTTGGTTTAACCTTGGAAATCGTTTATTTTAATGAAATGTTCCTTAAACGATATCCAAAAAATAAAAATATGTCAATTAAAATCTGCGATTAGTGACAATGAAACGGTGACTTATATATTATGAGTATTATATGTCCTTATACTATCAGTTCTCAAGTTTGTAATCTTTGTTGTTTTTTTTACTGTCCTATCAAAGTATCGTTCACATTATATCACGTAAATCAGCTTGTGGGGGAGGGGTTTTGTAGAAGCTAATGTAAGTGGCATTTCTACCTATTTCTACATATTTCTACCTATTTCTACATAGTTCTACCTATTTCTACCTATTTTCTACCTACGGCTTAATGTGTAAAGAGGCAGTCTAAATGGGCAAAAACTGGCGTACGTAAAATTATGTTAACGATTCTTTTAAACGGGCAACCAGTTTCGCCAACAAAGAAAAAGCGACTAAGTGATATTTGTTAGTAACTCTAGTCTCTAAGACGGTTTGATAAGTGAGATCCTCATTCAATAGTGGATATGATTCACGAGTATGATCTGACCTCCGCGAATACATTTTTTAACCTCTGTTTCATTGGAATTTGAAAAATGTACGTTTAATTTCTCGAACCGAGACCTATATTGCAGCACAAATTGACATTTTAAATGAGTTAGAGCGTATATAAATCAATCAGCGTATAAATCACTAAAATTACTTTAAACATTTATAAATCGCTTAAACTGCCAGCTAGGCATAGAATACATTTTTTTAAATTGAGCAGTGAAAAACTGAAACAAGAAAACTGTCGATAAAATTTGACTTTACAATTAATACAAATATAAGGCATATCAGAATTAATTGTATTGTATTATCAGTGCGTAGATGGTATTGTATCTGTATCTAGTAATGTATTGTATCTGTATCTAGTAATGGTATTGTATCTGTATCTAGTAATGTATTGTATCTGTATCTAGTAATGTATTGTATCTGTATCTAGTAATGTAGTGTATTCTGTATCTAGTAATGTATTGTATCTGTATCTAGTAATGTATGTATCTGTATCTAGTAAGGTATTGTATCTGTATCTAGTAATGTATTGTATCTGTATCTAGTAATGTATTGTATCTGTATCTAGTAATGTATTGTATCTGTATCTAGTAATGTATTGTATCTGTATCTAGTAATGTATTGTATCTGTATCTAGTAATGGTATTGTATCTGTATCTAGTAATGTATTGTATCTGTATCTAGTAATGTATTGTATCTGTATCTAGTAATGTATTGTATCTGTATCTAGTAATGTATTGTATCTGTATCTAGTAATGTATTGTATATGTATCTAGTAATGTATTGTATCTGTATCTAGTAATGTATTGTATCTGTATCTAGTAATGTATTGTATCTGTATCTAGTTATGTATTGTATCTGTATCTAGTAATATGTTTTGTCGTGCATGCCACTGTTCTTCACAAGTAGTCTTTAGTAGGACTGTGGTTGCTATAGTAGCCAATAAAGTAGCGCATGTTACCTTTATCATTGCGTCTTTCTAATGTTGTGAATTCCTATTTGTTTAGATTTTAAAACTCAAAAAACGCTGGCTTTATAATTATGTAATGTTTTTAAAAGTGATATTGAAGTTGTCTTTTAGCTTTCTTTGAATCACAAAGTCCAAATTGTTAGTTTTTAAAGCCTCACAGACCTCAGTGGAGACTGGTACTGTTAAATTTTAAACATTCCAAGATAAAAAACACAATCAGGCACTCGCATACCGCTCCTCTTCAAAGTCTCCCCTGACTCATCTTTATGCACTTATTTTTTGCCAGTGCTTTCAGTTACTCGGATAGTTGTTCGCAGATAGCGTAGCAAAAAGGTGTGGGCTCAAAATCCTAATCGAGGTATTGTTAGCCATATTACATGGCTAAAAATACGTCGATTAGGATTTTCAACTTATAGTTGAACCCTGCAATCTGCATCTTTGAATTGTCCTGTTCAGAGATACAAAAAACGCCCAAAAAAATAGTACATTATATAATTTGTAGCTTATTACTGTTTGTCCTTTATTAGTTATCGTATCATTAGTGTTGTTAGCTGTTTAACCCTAAATGTAAGTGTGGTTTACGATAACCTCAAGTCAAAGGATGACACGCTATGAAACGACTATTGTCCCGAAATGGCCATGTGGTTCAACGGAAAACCTCATGGAGATTACTGACATTGTTGAACATAGGCAATGAAGTCCCGGGGTTCAGTTCAGCTGCCCCCCCCTTTTATTAAACGGCAGCCCCAACCGAACAAACATGCTAAGCAAAAGGGGTTAAGCAAAATTTTCGGCCCAAAATTTACTAAAAAAAGGCCCCAAAACCCTGCCACCCTATTAAAAAAAAGTTCAAAATTATCTCGGTACTAGCTGACTTTGTAAAAAATGAATGGGCAAAAAAAATTTTTTAAGGGGCCGGGGGCGGCCTTCCTTTAAAATTTTAAAAACCCCGCCGCGCAAAATTAAAAACTACCCCCTTGCCACAACATCGGCCGGGGGGGCCGGATTCTAAATTCCTTTTTGGGGGGGGGGGTGCCCAAGCCCTTTTCCTTTTTGGATTCTAAAACAACGGACGGTTTTTTTGGGCCCTTTGGGGCGGACTCGGACGGACTTTGGGCGGACCCGGACGAACATTGGGGGATTTGGGAAGGACATTAGGACAAAGGGGAACAAACATTTTGGGGGACGAAGAGGCCGAGGGGAGGGGGGAGGACTTGGGAGAAATGATAAGGGACTGGGGAAAAACCGAGGAGGAGGGGGAAACTGAAAGGGGGGGGAAACGGGGAAGGGAACTGGGACTTGCTAACTTGGGGCCCCCAAAAGACCCCACTGGGGGGGGGGCCCGTAAAAGGGGGGCCCCCAATTTTCCAAATTTTTGGGCCCCTTTAAATTACGGGGGCCGCCTCAGCCGTCATTCCCCCCCAAATCTTTTTTGGGCTGATAAATTTAGGGACCCCAAACCCCTCAAAAAAAAGGAAAGTACGCTCATTGGAAGTTGATGTGCCGTGCCCCACCCATTCACGTTGATCATTTTAAAACCAATTGGGGCCTACAGAAAAGAACACGTGAAACGCAAACAAAACCCATTGGAAAAAGAAACCCGAAATTAGCTAGGGGAGCCGCGCGCGGATTAGATTGAAAAATTTTGGATTTTTGGGATTGAAAAAATCGAGCGAAAAGAGGTCATCATGGGTGTTTCCCTCGCTGAAAACCCGTGTTATCACACGCACGTAACACGGGTTTTCCCCCTTAAATTTTTAAATTTTGTTCCTGTAGTTAAAATATTTTTGATGCCTTTTCGTTTGGGCTTACAAAACTTTTTAAAAAAATCGTGGGGGGGGGGGGGTTTGTCTACCCCTTTGTTTATTTTTTGGGCTACCCGCCATTTATTTCCCTTTTTTAAAGGGACTCAGCCTAGCGAAAGTGTTAGTTTTTCCTTAAAATCAAATTTAAAAAGGCCTTTAAAGACCCCCTCTGATGGGGTTTTTTTTAAATTTTTGTAAATTCATTTTTGCATTTATCTAAGATTTTCTTTTATATACTCATGCAATGAAATTTAAATTTAATTTTTCCGGGAACTAAAACGTTTTTATTTAAAAAATCCAAATCAAGGGGTTCGGGGTTACTAGAAGGAAAAAAATATGTCAGATTGTTTTTGACCTTTAAAAACTGTCTTTTGTATTTTAATTTTTTCCCGGACGGGCCGGGTTTGGGGCCCGTCCCCTTTTTTGCTTTTTCAAAAAAGGGCCCTGTTTCGAAAAAACCCTTTTAAAATGTAAACTAAAATTTTATTCTCCCCTGAAACCTTTTTTCCCCTTTGCATTATTTCCCAAAGTTCGGGGTTTGGGAAATCGTAGAAAAAAACACAAAATGGTCGATATTCATATTTACAATCTTTAAATAAAGGTTTAAAAAAATTTTTTTTTTTTAAATTATTTTATTTTAAAAATTTGCTTTGGTGAGGGAAATAAAGTTTTTCCGTACTCTAAATTATCCTTTGCCCTTAATCCCTAAAATGTTGAAAAAATTTTATAGTTTGTTTTTAAATTTTGAAAGGGAATAGATTGTCCCCCTTAATTTAAAAAATTTGGGGATTTAAAATCTATAAAAAATTATCCTTCATTGTAAATGCTTTGAAGCGTCTTTTTTTGGGGTTTTTCCCTGAGTTACTTTTCGAAATGTGGATCAAACCCAAACCCGTTTAAAATTTTTTTCTGTTATATCGGTCTTTTTTTTAAACCACAGGATATTTTTTTACCCAAAATTTTACATTCATCCTCCCAGACAAAGTATTTCTAAAATTAAATTTTAAACTTTTACAGATATTGTTTTCTCATCTAAAGGGGCCAAAGGGTTGTGAAAAAGTCTAAAATTTTAAATAAAAACCTTTTTAAAAAATTTATGTATAGCCAAGACGATTTCTTTTAGTTTTTCCCCTTTGGGAATTTTTTAAAGGGTTAAATTCCTTTTTTAATTCCTTTTTTAATTCCCCCTTTAAAATTCCCCTCTTTAATTCTTTTTTAAATTTCCCCTTTTTAATTCCTCTTTAATTCCTTTTTAAATTTCCGGTGCTATTTCCCCTGTCTCTTTTGACCCCCCCTTAAAAAAAAAAGGGTTACTTTTTTT